AGAAAAAATATATTTATTTGCTTCTCTTGGTTTTATTTAACGTGTGTCAATCAGAAGTATTCAATGCACCGTCATAAATTTCAGTAATTTTACGAGAAATTAAAGTAAGTTTTATAAGCAATTACTATTATAAGCAATTTTTGTAAGAAATTACAAACCCATGATTTCGACCGTTGTGGCAGTTCTATACGGAGAATATTTTATGGTAAAAAATTACTCTTGAATTTGATAACCATGATCAACATTTTAAAGTAATTGACCTCTTTAGAACCTTAAACATTAAAAAGTTACGCAAACCTTAAACACGAGTAAAACTCAACACGTCTTTATTTGCTCATAACTTTCGTAAAAGTGATCAACATTCAATGCTTTTTTAACTAGTAGGCAACATCGAGGAATATGAATCTACTAATTTTTGATTCAGTAAAGTTGAGAAAATTTGTAATGAATAAACAAAACATATGTTCTTAAGAACGATAACGTTTGAAAAGTTAGTTTGAGTAAATTTTAATAATGTTTTTTGATTAGGGCAAGGAAATAATAAATGAAAATATTAATCTGAACATTCGCTCATATAGAGTCAGAATTCATTCTGAGTAAAATTTCACTCAAAATGTAGAATAACACTCGATTTTGTGTGATTTTTCATTCATACAGAGCGAAATCGCCATTCTGAGTCGTTGACAGAATATTTTTAGTCAATGTTAAAGAGTGAATATTTGATGCACTTCATCGTAATAGGAACACATTCGCTCATATGGAGTCAGAATCCACTTTAAGGCCGAGCGAAGCATTCACTTTCGCAATTTCGAGTAGCGGTATTTTCACTATCACTTCCAGTGAAATTATTGTCACATGTCGCTCGTTTTCAATGAGATTGCATTTCGAGCAACTTAGAGAGTAGACCTCTGTAGTTCGCATGGCATTCACGATGAGTCACGTAGAATCAGTTCGACGTAGAACGCGTTAAGAACGTGACGCTTTGATAAAAACTAGTAATAATTTCGCGCTTTAAATTCTACGCGCGGAAAGACAAGAATTTTCGTGAGGGCAAGATACAAGAATTCCTTCTGTTAATGCGGCGTTAATGCGAAACCACGCGAGCGGAATAATGATCGAGCAATTCACGATTATGAGGTATAGCCGCGGCTAACACCTGTTCGCGGTACATCGCCGTTTGAGAGTGAATTATATCGGGGGAAAGTTACTTCTCTCTTTGGCTATTCGTGTCCTGCTCGCTTCTTCTTTTCCGCCTTCGTCGCTGTCGTCATCGGAGCCGCGTGATTTTCAACCGATTCGGATGAAATAACACGCAGATGTCATGTGTACTTCCCGTAAACGCCGAGGCATCACGACGTTTGAAAAACGTGACTCCGGGACAGACCGGGACGACACATGAATTTCTACGTAGCGCCGCCGCTTTTTGTCACTATTTCGCTCGCAATTACCGATTCTGTCCCGATCCTTACGTAAAGTCGGTAATTGCGCACGAAGTGCCGATGTGTTCGCGTAAAACAATTCGACGAATGCGGAAAACGTGCCGCTGCACGCAGATCGCGCACGCAATTGCCTCGGGCAAGGTCCTCGCCTGTTACTTTCGCCGCTTGCATTAGTCAACACTTGGCCCGTCGTGCAACTTGTCCCCTCGACGATTAAAGACCGCGATCTACTTCAAGTTTGAAACATACAACAGTTGTGCCCGAGATCGATCGTTCAATTACACGTTGAGTCCTGCGAGCGTTCGCGAGGCGTCGCCAAGCCTAATTGGACAATCCGCGAGGACGAGTCGCACGACTCGAAACAGCGGTACGGTAAGTCACACAAATTGCAACGGGACGCTCTCCCCCCGATCTGTTTCGTACGAAATCTCACGTCAATCTCGATGCTGGAGGCGGAGCGACAGCGGTTTAATTACTTAATTAATGGAACCACGGGGAGTGGGTGGCAAGAGCAGAAAGAGGGTGGTAGGTATCTCTTCCTCTCTCTCTTTCTCCCTGTCTAACTGAACGGAACAATTAATCACTGCGGATCGCTAGACAGTTTTGTATCTCGCCGACTTCCGGCCGTTATAACTTGGTCACGTGCCTCGCGGGCACGTGAAAGCCATTTGGAATTCCTCGAGCCGACCAATTGCTCCTCTTCGACAAACTACGATAAGAACGAGCTGGAGGGAGTCTAGTATCGCGGAAACGGAGGGAGTTTAATTACCGAATGCAAATGCAAATATACTTTAGGGACTATCGTGCTGTCTCCGTGCGCTGAACGACCTCTTTCCTTCCTCCCTCTCGCCGCGCTTCTCCTTGCTCAGATCCTCGCATCGCGTCGCTGGCTCGGTCTCGTCTCTCGTCTCTTCCCGTCGTCGCTATCTGACGCAGTTTAACCACGCCGATTCTCGATTAAAGCGAGTACGAGAGAAGGAGCGGGATGATGAGCATTCGGAGATCATTTGGATTTTACGGCGAATTCTTTGTTATTTCTTCGTGTTGTCTTTCCCTGTGCTTGATATTACGCGGATAATATAGTATCTGAGTTGACGACGAGATGTTGTATCTCATTAGCGTAATAATGCAAGCTACGTCAGGAATCGTAATTACGCGGGATCTGACGAAAGAATATCTGCATAAAGTTTTCTGATTTATTCAGCACGTGTGCGCGCGCGCGCGTGTCGCGTATGCACAAATGACGCGTTAGTTTCGTTACATACCATATCGGCTGCGTTAATCGCGGAAACTGGAATCGACGTAATTTCCGTAGGCCTCGGTGCACGGCTGTGATAAATAACGCTGCTCGTACCCGAAATCGCACGAACACTACGACTACTCGCAAGTGAGAGAGGAAAAGCGTCCTGTAGCCGGCACTCTGCCTGTTTTGGGTACTCTTGCGCTTGAATATTATCAAATATTAAAGTATATAAGGATTTAAAGGAAAATAAATATGTGATAAATAATAATTAATAAATAATAAATAAATAATAATAAATAATAAATAATAATAAATAATTAATAAATAATAAATAATAATGAATAAATCTACGTATATATTAATATTCAACAAAATTTGAATAAAAGTGTCAAAAATTGACGAGTGTTATAATGAGTGCCCGTTTTTGGACGTTTTCCGTTACATTTACTAAATAGTTTGCTACCAAAGATTGAAATAACTATGAAGATCACAATGATTACAATCACTCCTAAAAATGGAAATATTGAGTTGATTAGCAATACGCGGGAAAAATACAGTTTTCATGTTTATATAAATTATTTTTTATTTTATATATATTTCTCTAGTAGCGCGGGAAAATAGACTGTCAGTAGAGTCTATCTCGTCAAAAATAATAGCAAATTTTGCTGGATTTTTTCCACTGGACGGAAAATTTTTTAATAACATATATGAAACGATAGTTGATCATAAAAGTAGATAGAAAGTAGATAGTTTAATAATGAAAGAATTTTAATTACTACAAAATGTCGATCTGTTCCTGAGTTATAAAATTTTTAGTAATTTTTTATCATTAAACTTTCCGCATGTAAATATTGGTGATTAATCTTAACGTCAAAGTTCTGCACAGACGATAAATTTACGGAAGACTTGTTGAAATGTGCATTAGTTTTCTATTATCATGACTGACTCCTATTCATACAAAGAATAATAATCTGATCTTCAGTAAAAGATATTTATACGATTTTTCAATAATAACACTGAGGAAAAAATGTTTAATGTATTTGTAGCTATAATCACATAGAGAAATAATTGCTATAAATTGTGGCCGAGAAAGTCATTTTTTATATTAAATTCTACTATAATATATAACTTACTATATAAGTGATTATGATCTTATATGCATGTTGTTATTACCATTTTACTGCAAAAAATATGGTTAGGGCTAGAAATAATTATAATTTAAGTTAGACCATTTATTTTTCCTCAAAGTGTAATGTTGTTTTTTTCCTCATGATGAGAAAATTATATCTCTCGTACACGTACACTTTAATCTTGACAAAAAAAAACTGATTAAGGCAGTTTTACGGAAATGCGTCACGATTGCGAAGATTGCGGTAATTAACGTGTAAACGCACAATCACTATGCAAGCAGATGAATTATCACCTCGAAATCAATACAAGAATGCGGCATATCGTGGAAAATTATTCATTGTTCTTGGCATCTTTGGCGCGCGTACTTGATTGCGAAGTGGTTTGAACACTTTTTTCTCGAGGCGGCAAGGGAGCGGAATTCCTGTCGTTCTTACGACCCAATCTGGTTTTAAGAAACCAGAAATAGCGTCTCCTTCAACCAAAACGATTCAGTCACCAAAGTTAAACTTCGCGTAAACACAACTATATTCTTTCTTGTGTGTGCATTCTCGATGTAGGAAATGGCCAGACCTTTATGACTCTTTGTCTATTGTTACTTTGGTTCTTGTCATAATTAATTACTGCGTAAATTTGTCGGTAACGGCTCTCAGTTGTGACAATTTGGCGCGTTTTTTTACTTTATGATGCCTAAGACGTTTCGCAACGAAGTGTACGCATCACGAGAATCACGGGTGATTGTGCCTATTTTTAACCATCAATCGGATAAGGAAAAAGAAGAAGGAAAATTAAGAAGGAAAGAAGAGATAAATAACCGACGCAATTCCAAGTGTCAAGACACGTCAGGTGTTTCCTCGATTGCAGCGGCGTTGCGCCAATGATATGGTTCGCTATCGGTCAGGTCGCTCGGTCGGTCGGTCATCGAAGTAGAACCGATTACGCGAGAATGATCGAGAGAAAGTCTAACGGATTACGTTCTATTAGGTTGCTCCGTCGGCGCTGCAAATATCGCCGATCGGTATCAGCTGTATTAGCCGCTGGTTTCGAACAGGTGCGCCGCGAACGTTCGCGTCTGAAAGGAAACTTATTCGCGGGAACGCGCTGTGCAAAATTGCGTGGGCGAGAAGCCAGGCGTGTAGTAAAAATTCCTGGCACTCCAATGTTGCTCGCGCGAATACAAGCGCGAGAATCAACTCTCGCGCAAGGACTTGAGCAATTTTTGTCCCTCGTCAGGTCCTCGCGCGCGTTGTGCTTTTGTTACTCGAGTTCGAAATTCAGCGCGTGCAATTTTTATCCGCCCGCAATTTTGCAATTCCGCGGGCGCGCGCGCACAGTGTCCGCCCTTCTTCTTGTGCGATTTCCTCGCGACGTAGCAGCAAAAATCACTCGAGATTTGCGCGTCGAGATGACGCGGAATAAGGACACGATTTGTATTCGCCTTCGGTTGTGTTCGCCCGAGATATTAAATAAACATGACTCATGAATCGAACCCGCCCTCCTGATTGCGTGGCGAACGTTCGCCACGTAACCGAGAACGTCGCACGTGTGATTGCCTTCTCATCCGAAAGTTCAAGCCGGCGCGGCCAGTAATAGCGAATTAATGACGGGCATATCAGTTTTTCCTGGTATTCCCGTCATTCGACACCCAGCCGCGCGCTCGCGCGAGGGAATAGACGAGAAGAGAGGAAAAAAGAGGAAAATCGTAGGCCGTCGAATGGAGCGATTTTCAAAACACGTGGCACGTGATATGCGCCGTACACGTTTCGCGCTCTTGTCACGACAAGGCGGTTAACCGATGTAATGGACTAGAATGGAGCGAAAAAAAAGAAAAAAAACTATACAAGACCTCGCGTGGCGAGAAACAGCGCGCAAAAGTAATTAGCGGTTACGTTGTCGCTCTGTTCGGCCAGAGCGGGAGGGGATTCGATTAAAATCACAGTGACGTGCCGACGTATCAGAGTCAAGCTCAGTTTCCTTTCCGGCGTCTTTCAGAATGACATCGTCGGCGTTGCCGTCGTGGTCGGTGCGCCTCGCGAACTCGGCAACTCTTCCTCAGCTCTCGTCGTAGCGACAGGTCGTGCTTCGTTTCGTTTGGTTTCTAAGGTGAATGTAACCGCCGATACACAATTGTTTTTTCGCGAATACGTTTTCATTGCATGCACCTTCGCGTTTCGTCTTCAGCCCACCGGACGACAAGTCTAAGGCTGTTGTGTGGAATCGCTGCTCAGAAGTAACAGTCGTGACAGGGTTTCCTAGTGGAAAAAGAGCCAGCAGTGCGAAGCATCGTATGACGTTGATTACTAAATGACACTCGAAAATGCTTTCGAAAATGTTTCAACGTGGGTCTAATCAGAGCATCAAGTATTTGAAAAGGCGAGGAGGAGACACGGGCCTGAACAGATAGAAAAACTTAAGCAGTAAAACATAAGCAGTAAACAAATTGATCAATTACAGTAGATGATTCTTCTTGTAGTCCAAGAATCAATGATTGTGAGTGGTTAATTTGTTTACTGTTTACATTTTATTGCTTAAGTTTTTCTGTGTGTTCAGGCCCTTAATCTTCGCGACGCTAAACATTTTTCCATGCTGATATTGCGAAATATCCTCGAAAGGTGTTGCGGCGGGAGTGGTAATGTTTACTTTATTGATATGCAAACGTATGCCAAGCGCGTTAATCCGGCCATCAGCCGCGATTATCATAAATACCGGTCGCCAGAGAATCAAGCTTATCAAATCTGCATTGTAGAATCAAATAACCTTAAGAGGATATTCCTTGAGGAATCAGACGCGGAAGTGTGACGCGAGTGTAACGATACCTGTTCCACCGACGTGATTTCCCCGATTTCAACACGCACGAAAAATACGTCTTGCGCTCTCGTCCACGTATGTTCGATACATCAATCAGCGACATTATCGAGTTATTCCGCATTGCACGTAGCCGCTTCCCGCGATTAGGTAACGACTCGTTGATAAAGGGGAATCAAACCCTCGCGTGATAATAGGATGTCATTGGTAAATCAGGTGTAACGACGTGATAGTGACAAAACACACGTGTGCGTGCAACAACTCTTGCACAACTGTAAACCTAATCGGTATTATGTTCACCTCAATCCATTCTATGCTCTCGCAAAGTTTGAAAATGGTGGGTGTCTGGGACATCCTGTACACACACACACACACACACACATATATATATATATATATATATATACTAAAATACATATATGCTCTATGTAATATATATTATACTATTAATATGTTTATTGGGAAAAAATTTATTCTAAATGAGAAAATATATTTTGCTCAAAATCCTTGCTTTTTATGAAAGCAATTGTTTGTTCTATTTATACAAAAGAATTTAGATTCAAATAAATATATTATTAGTACTCACCGGAAAAATAAATAGTTTTTACTTTTCAGATATTTTTCTCTAAGCATAGCGGATTCTTTTAATAAGAAAAAAACGAACATTTCGTGCGTTAGTGGCTAACAGTATCTGTTATGTAAAAATAGTTTATTACGAGCCTTACAATAACTGGAGGTAATAAAATCTTCGCGTGTTCAAGCACCGATCATTTTATGTTTATGATCGCACTTGCTGTCGAGTTGAAGAGAGTGATGATTTCAACTTAATATGACCAATTTCATCAATTTTATATGCATCCAAAAAAATATACTCTTATACTTTATACTTAGAGAAAAAATATCTTTAAAATAAAAAATATTTCAGTGAGAATTAATAACATATTTATTTGTACTAATATATAGATATTATGTATAGGGTATCTCAGAATCTCCTCCGTAATTTTTGTGGGAACGTAGAACGGATTGAGGTGAACATAAAGATCCTATATCGTTTTGCGATATTCACAATAATAGTCACGATATGTATTATAGAAGTTTAGTGAATGATCACACGGGACATGGTAGGTAAGCTGCAGTGTGCTGTTGTGTGCTCATATATTAAGACAAATTAAAAAAAAAGTTCTCTACCATTTTGCAAATGACCATATAGATTTTTAGATATTAATTAAAGGAAATTTGTGCATCACGCACAACCATGCAATTTTTTCATGAATAATTAAAAATTTACATCGTAATTTGCAAAATGATAAAAGGTGTTTTATTCGATTTGACTTAATGTACAAACATACAACAGCATACATCGCCTTTACAACTTATCTACCATATCGCACGTGATTTATATTCACTAATTCATTTTAATTAATATATCCACATTTATTATGAATATCGTAAAACGGTATGGGATTTTTATGTTCACCTCAATCCTTTCTACGCTCTCGCAAAGTTTGAAAATAGTGGGTGTCTGGGACATTCTGTATATATATACACTAAATATATATATTCTCTATGTAATATATATTATACTATTAATATATTTATTGAGAAAAAATTTCTTTTAAATGGGAAAATATATTTTTCTCAAAATCCTTGCTTTTTATGAAAACAATTGTTTGTTCTATTTAAACAAAAAAATTTAGATTCAAATAAATATATCATTAGTACTCACCGAAAAAATAAATAGTTTTTACTTTTTAGGTATTTTTCTCTCAGCGTTGCGATTATAGGATAGCGCGTTAGCGATAGGATAATTCTAATAAGAAAAAATAATTATGGTTACAAAATTTTCTATTTCCTATAAAATCTATTCTAAGCGAGAACTATTATCGAAAGAGCATCTCTCTTCTGATGAAGAGGAATAATATTGAATACAGAATATGTTTAGAATATATTTAGTTTCTGGTTTTAGAAGAATTCTCTTGCAGCCATATACAACAGAATTTCACAACGGATAAGATTATATATTCTTGGGTGTGGAATTTCCTTAATAGATCTTAAAAACACTATCGCCTTCGTGAAAAGATTTTATAGTATTCGTTATTTTTTTTCTTTTTCAGTTTAGTAACTTCAAATACACGCGGAGCTATTTAAACTGAGAAGCACGTAGTTCTTCCGCTTTTCTCCGTTCGAATAACCTACAACAATCTTTAGCAATCTCAGTACAACTAAACATTCTTCCGACTTTAAAGGATTGAGTTATTTGTGTTAAGCACCGGCAACTAATAACAATGACAGTGAAAATGATTGCATGCTACAGCCCAAGGGTCCACGATTGATTTTCCTGATACGTAACGATTAACAATTATCGACTGTACAGTTAGAATGAAATATCGTGCACCTCCGGGCGTGATGACCTTCCGGTTATAATCGCGGGCCTTTCTTCTTGCGCTTCAATGATAAGTGAGTGAACGACGGGAGTGAACGTCACGGTATAAGCTACCGATGCAACTACTCGGCTTGTCACAGCCGTCGCGACAATTAATCGCGTTCAATTTATCACCTGCGTGTATAGGATTTTGGTTACGTTGGCTATATTAACTACGTAATATCTATACACGAAAAAGAGATTATTTAAATTAACAGTGACACAACTAAATGCGTTTCTACTGAAAGAAAAAAACTTTCCGTTCTTTAAGAGTCGAATGTAGCTCTCAAAACTGCTACATTGAGAGAAAAATAAAATTTTATAAATAAATATAATAATATAAATATAATAATATAAATATAAATATAATAATATCTTAAAAATAAAAAAAATATTTATTTGAGAAGGAACTGATAATATATTTATTTTAATTTAAATTCTTTTATTTAAATAGGATAAACAATTGTTTTCATAAAAAAAACTAAACATTTTAAAGGAATGTATATTTTCTTATTTAAAAATTATTTTGTATATATTAATATAAGTATGTTATATATTAGTACCGATAGAATAAATTACTACAGTAATATGTAAACCATAACTATCACAACTAATATTATGTAATGCACAATTTTTCCCATTCTTCCATTCTTCATTTTACCGTGCATCCTGGTTTAGAACGAGTAAGAATTAAAAGTAAAAATTATGCTTATCATGAAACTGCATTTGCGACTGCAGAACAAGCTGAAAATTGCTTCACTTAATTTTGTTACTTAAGCACATGCAATTCTTCTTAATCCTTACATTATGTAATTATATTACTGTATAGATAAAAAAAGTTGTGGCTAAATTAACACTGACATAACTAAACGCGTTTTGGTTGAAGAAAACAGAATTTTTAGTTCGTACAAATCAAATTCGACTTTTAAAAATAAGAAATTTTGTTTCTTTTAATCAAAATTTAGTTGTGTCATTATTAGGTTAATTTAACCAATGTTTTTATCCATGCGTGGATGGCATACACTGAGAGAAAAATATCTACGAAATAAAAAATATTTATTGGGTACACACACACACACACACACACACACACACACACACACACACACACACACACACACACACACACATATATATATATAACACATACCAATATAAAATATTTTTAAATGTAAAAAATGTACATTTTCTTGAAACTCTAGTTTTTTTTATGAAAGCAATTGTTTATTCTATTTAAATAAAAAATTTAAATTAATAAATAAATATATTATCAGTTTCTCTCCAAGTAAATACTTTTTATTTTTGAGATATTTTTCTCTCATTGTGTTAGCGATTTAGAAGCCAAATTCGGCTTTTAAAAACCAGGAATTTTGTTTTTCTCAATCAAAACACATTTAATTGTTTGTTTCTAGTATGAATATAAGATAGAATAAGAAAAAATTGTGTATGCGATTAGGTGTTAAAATTAAGTGAAGTATTTATCAGCTTGTTCTGCGATTGTAAATGCACTTTCGCGATAATTTTTATTTTTTATTTTGTTCGAAGAGACAGCTACTCGCTCTAAGCCGGACTACATGGCCGAATACTTTTATGGGAGAAAGGAAAGAGTTGAGTATTACATAATATTAGTCATGGTACTTACGTTTCGCGTAATATTGTAGCAATAAATCTTTATAATTATCATTGTTACGCGCTGTTTGTGTATTGCGCACGTTCAATCGCGTCGGTGTTTTCTCTAATGAGTCTGTTTTCTACAACGTGCTACTACTGCGAAAGAGAGGGATGAATCACTTCATCAAACGCGACGTCTTAAAGTCAAAGGAAACGCGTAATTTCACTCGTTGTAATTAGCACTGCGTGTGGTAATTACAAGTCCACTTTAGCGTTACGAAAATAATTTTCGGCATGCCACATTTTGTTCCACCGGAAGCGTTCAGTAATTCGCCGCTGATGATATCACTTTGTCACTGAAAAAGTCGCTATTTTAGCACATTTTCAACAACATATGCGCGTTTTCAACGGCAGAAATTATCGTCCCAATAATAATAGGCAAATATATCATTCGCGATGACTAAATAATTAACGATGTTGTTAAAACAATATTACCGATACTTGAAAGTTATTTTTCACGTCGTGAATTTGTCAATTAACTAATATTGTTTGCGCTTGTGAAATTTATAGAGACATGAGTTATAACGCGGACATAAAGTATCGCTAAATAATTGATACAATTTAGTATTTCTATGATATAGATATCAAAAAATTAATATTGTCGGAGCTACGGACAATTTTCAGTTTTAATAACGTTGGAGAATTGTTTCCATTTGTCACATGCGGCGTGGGAACGAAGCATTATACTTCAGCAAGTGTTTACATGTATCTTTTTTATTTTCACGTACGCTTCGTAACATGAGAAGATTTCTTAGGCCCGTATTAACAGTTGTCACCTGATACTTGCATCATGTGAGATATTCAGATTTTTATTCAGAGTTAGATACAAGTTTTCCTTAACTAAATTACATGGCATACGTGACATTATGTCTGCGATCGTGATTCAATTAAGAAACTCGCATCAAACTTTAAACTTAAATCTGAGTATCTCACTTGAGACGTAACATCTATTAATACAGTTTTTTAAGTAACATCTATTAATACAGAACATGAAGACTTAGAAAAGTACATTGTTTGTGTTATCAGAGTCGAGAATTGCTTGCAGCTCTGACAATGTTAATTTTTTTATCTGTATTCGTTAAAGACTCTTTACTCAATTCAGCGAGCATTATTCACCTCATGAGTTCCGAGTTGAATCCACTTTCTCTAACATCCTTCGTAATAATGGATTAAAATAATGATATCGAAATTAGTCCACAAGTGATTTTGCCAGTCTAACATTTCTTCCTAAAGAGAGCGACTAAACTCTTATAAGCTTTTAGTTCCATTTTATGACATTTGAAATTTTAAATTATTTTTTGATATAATTAAAAATAGCTATTGTGTGTAAACTAGCAAATAGTTATTATCCAATTCTGCTAGTTACAACGAAATTAATCGTTTATTAAGTTAATCGGAACTTGATAAAAGTCACCTTAAATTAATAAATATTATTAGCACTTACAATCTATATTGTTTTATTGATAAAGACTTTCATCTATCTTTCCCGTTTCTTGCAACATTTCCTATATGTTTCCCGTATGGGTTGTAACTATACTATTTATTTCGACAGAATATGTATCTTTTTAGGCTTATCACTTTGATACACTTATATATCTTTACTCATGAATAACTATAATTTCATAAAAAAATATTTAAGACTTCGAATGCCGCAAAATGAAACTAAACTTGGTCGCACTCTTTGTAAATTAGGATATTTTTTCTAATCAATTTTACGATATTATCAGCCGCTTATTGTTTAATACCAAAAAGTTCGTATACGACGAGAAGCAGATTCCTGTTCGACGGAGAGGTCGCACTGTCGAGTTAACATTCCTTAACTGCACGTTCACCGGTGTGCGTCCGCTCGAACGGATGGGTGGGCAGGGCTTTGGACAGCGAGTTGTCAAAGTGTGTAAATTTCATGGCAATAAATTCATGTTAAGGAACGCGCCCGGTGCGGTGGCCGTCTCCTAATAGTGGGCGCATTGTATGGCGTGCCATAAACTGTCGCTTTGGGAGGCATCGCATCGCGTGCCACAAAGCAAGAGCAAGTGCTCTCTGCGACCGCGGACGGTGGTCATGCGTGCAGACGTAGCCGTTTACACGTGTGACCGTATCGCACCCTCGGCCGGGGGAGATATGTGGCGCGGAATCTAGTTAGTGCCCTTGTTGGCTTTATCTCCGTTATCTCCGTTTGGCTCGGCCGTGTTGCCAGATTAGAAGGATCAGCCTCGCCGCGCACCCGCCGGTGCGATAATTAGCGAAGATGGAATTTTGCATTTCCAATCGCGCGTCTTCGCGCGGTTTCAGCGCGTCCATGTGGAGCAACGACATCTTCAGTCGCTCACCTTGCGCTCTGACAACGCCCTTCTCACGCGGCGATTCTCATGATCGGGTCTCGTTCACATATGAAACTCGTGATCTACGCGCGTTGTAATTTGCGTAATTTACTGAACGTCCCGATCGTACTTTGCATTTTTTGCAGTAGGTGACTCGCGATCGATACAGGTGGAAGTGCGAACGAGTGAGAACGGCCTCCGTATTGAGAACATGAAACGTTATTCGCTCGCGTCGTGTGTGCACGTGTTGCTCTCGTAGAAGACTTTTCTGTCGCGAGCTAACGCGATCGATCGTTAACGTGAAATCAAGAAGAGTATCACCGGGCGTAATGGACCGCGGCATATTGCGGCAAATGCTGATCGGACTTGTGTGTAAGTATCCCGACGACGCTTGAAGATATACTCTTTCTCCACGAACTCGCGAAAGAGTCTAACGTGCGATCGATTCTCAGGCAGTCTCATGACTATCGACTGCGGCTTCCACGAGGGATGGTGCACGCCGACCATATCCAAATTCAACGGCGAGGATCCCTTAAACGTGACAAGCGATGAGATTGCTTGGATCGTGAATCTCATGTACGTGGGCGTTGGCATCGGCTCGTTGGTACCGTTCATGCTGATGAACACCATCGGACGTAAAGGCACTCTGCTAGTCACCACGATGCCGAAGATCGCGTCTTGGCTCTTCATCGGCCTGTCCACATCTGTACATTACATATTTGTCGGACGAGTGTTAGCGGGCATAGGATGCGGCGTAACCTACTCCGTGATGCCGATGTATCTCGGCGAGATCAGCAGCAAACGGACCAGAGGTCCTCTAGGTACGACGACGTCAGCTGTTTCGGACAGGTCGTCAATGTGCAGTGCTTGACTCGTCTCTTGTTTCACTTGATACATTTGATATTAAAGATGTTAATCTGCTCGTCGTTAATCCTCTTTGCTCGATTGTAACGATATTTTATTGTACTTTGAATTTGTATCTCTGAAAAATATTTAAGAAAATTGCACACTGGTCCACAGGAAAAACCATTTTGTCATATGGACTTAATTATGTAATTTATATACTATTTTTAACAGAAATCTTTTATATTACTCAGGCATTTCCAGTGGTTATTTTTCAGTTTCAAGAAGATTGATTTTCTTTATACAAGCATAGTTTATCTAATTTAAAAAACTAATGATTTTTTGTGCTGTATATTTGGTCTTTTTTAAAATATCGCGTACAGAAATTTTGTACCAATTTTCATCATATGTTGTACTTAATTGGAGGAAAATCGCGTACAAAAAGAAAACTCGTTAATGTTAATAAATTTTTATAGACAAATATATTGTTTAATGGAGAAACTTTTCATGAAAGAAGTACTTGTGATGTTAATGATACTTAATAATATAAAACATTTAAAATCAAATCGAATTTAAATTGCATATATAATATATTAAATCTCAAGTGATCATTACGAAAGAATTGTGGATAATAGAGGTTTCTGAATTCATTTTTAGGTTTTATATATAGAAAAATATAGAATAGTCTTATAAAAATGTATTCACAAATTTTAAAAAAGTTCATTTCATCATATACTCAAAAAAAAAAGAATTTACTCTCTTTATAAAAATATTATAAAACTTTACCGAAGAAGTTAATTTTATTCTATGCAGTAAGCGAACCAAATTTTTCTTTTAATTTAATATTTTTGATTGAAATGTTAAACTTATTAGGAAATGATATATTTTGAGTATATTTGATGGCTTATGATGAATTTATTGTAGATTGGCGAATATAAAACAACTACTTTAATGCAATATGCATTTTTCTGCGCGTATGCATAAAAGTATATAAGAAATATACCAGAAATTCTATGTGACAAATTACCAGTTGACCAGTGTCATCATGTATTTCGTTCTTGCACTGTACTCGATTGACCGTACTCGTTACTCACGAGACAGCCACCATCTTTGATGAAGTGACATTAAATGAGAGTCGCGAGGCCTTCAGGTACCCTAATGGTCGTCCTAATCAACATCGGAGTGCTGATCATCTACACGATCGGCTTGTGGATCAGCCGATTCACGATGGCGATGATAGGTCTGTGCGTGCCTTTGCTGTTCCTCCTGACATTCATATGGTTGCCCGAGAGCTCAGTATTTCTCACGCGAAAGAACAAGCTCGAACTTGCGAAGAGAACCCTCCAGTGGACCCTCGGCAAGAAGAACGTGGACGAGGAGTTAGACGAGGTCAAACGAATCGTGATGGTCGAGAACGAGTGCAGCCAGATAAGCTTCACCGAGATGTTCAAGCAGGTATTCAAGGCGCAGAACAGGAGAGCCTTTCGAATTGCCATAATAGTGCTGAGCGCCCTGTCGCTAACGGGCGCGGCGCCGATACTCGTGTATCAGTCGTACATCTTCGACGAGGCCGGCTTCGAGATTTCGACCAACACCGGCATCATCCTGACCGGCATCGCCATCGTCATATCCGGCTGTGTCTGTGTGACGCTGGTGCGGTTCGTCGGCAAGAGATCGCTGCTACTGATTGCCGCGCCGATTTGCCTGCTATCGTTGACGACGATAGCCATTTTCTTCCAGCTGCAGTCCAGCGGCTACGACGTCTCCCAATTCAAGTGGGTGCCCACGGTCTTCGTGGTGATTTACGTGTTCGGTTTCGGGCTTGGCCTTAATCCGATACCACTCGCGTATATCGGTGAGATCTTCGTCTACGAGGCCAAAGTACCCGCCGCGGTGTTCAGCGCTCTCTACTACTCTTTGAGCACCATCGCTATTGTGAAGTTTTATCAGGTAACGTTGACGCCTGTGTGTGTGCGTGCATGCGCGCGCGCCAGGATCGATTTTGTTTTTCGCGAAAGGCGAGCGCAGCAAACGGGTTATCAGAAGTAACGATCGGTTAAAGGTTTTGGCCGAGATTTCTTTATTTCATAATGATATTATACGGCACGATATACTGTCATTTAACAACTTTAACAGACTGAAAAGACTCTTCAGTGTATGATAATATCGGAGAAAACGTCGTGATAACGCGAATATACAAATTATATGTCGGGAATAACATGAAAATTCGAACGGACGATTGAAAGTCCGTGGTTCTGTTTGGATTTACGCGCAAAATAAAACATTTGCGAAAATTATCTCTGCAATTTTAACGCTTAGGGCTCTTCGATGTCTTCTTGTTTTCGATATACAGGGTGAGTCGCTTAGAGGGAATTCATACCTTGGCAGAGAAATAGAAAGGCAGAAGCCAATCGAAATTAGCGCCAGTAGTTAGGTAGTTAAATAGTAGTTAGATGGTAATCGACAATTTCTGCTTTTTTATCGGCGCGAATTCTGGCTGATTACTGTCATTCTCTTTCTTGTTTTCTTGCCAAGATGTGAATTCTCCTTTAGAGTACAGAACAACGCAGAACTGAGCGTTCCATATGGCTGATGTTCATCTGATCGCTCTATTCTAAGCAAATATACATGCCTGCAGGCCAATGCGACGATTTCGGCTGATCAAATATATACAGTATTCTAAGGGTTAACGTTAGATTCTAAAATATCTCTGTCGTTCTTTTATACATTCAAAGAAAAAAAATATCTAAGAAATGATAAATATTTATTCGATGGGCACTAGTGACATATTTACTAACATAAAATATTTTTCAAACAAAAAAATATACATTTTCTTAAAACCTTAAGAAAACCTTAGCTTTTTATGAAAATAATTCTATTTAAAATTCTATTTAATGGAAGAACTTAAATAATATGAGTACTCATCAAATAAATATTTATTATTTCTTAGATATTTTTTCTTTCACAGTATTAGAGCTGTGTAAGGAATAAATTGAATGGAAGGCTTGGCTGACAACAATATTTAGCCGTTCTAACCGTATATTTTATTCCCTACACACCTTCCTCTAATGTAATGTAAAGAAACAACAGAAATATTTTAGGATTAACGTTAGGCGACATTCACTACACGAGATGTGCGATAAAAAAAGAAAGTTCAGTTACACGTTTGACGTATAATATTACGTAATTCAGCAAAAATAACGATCCATCGCCCCTTTCTTCTACCAATAAACATCATGTCGTGTATAGTTGTGCGCGGAATAATATAATAGCAAGATTATTTGTGTTTGTGTAGGTCTCGCAAGAGGTATATGGCACGTTCGTACCATTCTGGGTATTCACCGCGATAACGTTTCTTATATGGGTATTAATTTACCTATTTGTGCCGGAGACCGAAGGCAAAACCCTGGAACAGATACAATTGGAAATACAGAGTAAGAAGTTATTACCTACGGCTGAAAAGATGGACATGATGTCATAAACAATCCGAAGATCCACCAGACCCATTTTTACGGCGCTCTCGTTTCACACGAGAATATCACTCGTACGATTCTGTGATTGCGAGTTCATACAAAATATCGCAGCGAAATCTTTCGCGAATTATGTTATAATACTCAAATAATCAGATAATCATGTACATATAACAATAATTTGTAAAGCGCGTGCAATTACGAGTCGCGGTAATGTTACAATATCAGCGGCAATATCGACCATGTCGACTATTTCGCCAGCTATCATCAAGTAATTATCAAATAACGACAAGGAATTTTGGCTCATCGACAATGTAATATCGACAATCAATAATGACGCGTGTAATGCGCCACAGGTATTACGACGAGGGATAGAAAATTCCTTCTGAATAAGTAGATGTATCTAAAATAATAACAACGATACGTAGCTTTATGTATTCTTTTAAAATTCAAGGCAAAATCGCTGTATCGGTGATGGCGTTAAATTGCATTTCGAGCTTGTGAAAGAGAGCTAGGCAAAGAGAGGCGGTGTGAGAGTGGGGGTGAGGTGAGGGGGAGAACCATTGAACTTGTTTGATCGTAAAGCTCTAACTCCGCAAAGAGAATCGTTTAGTAGCGATATCGCGTACGACGAGATTCGTACGTTCGATCGAACAAGTTAAGTTCTCATTAAAAACACATTTGCAACGTGAATTCGACGACCTCTCTCGTTGATCCTCTTCTGAAATATAAAACCGGCATAAACACTACTCACTATATCCCGTTGCACTTTAACAAATATTATCTCGCCGTTTGCATCAGTGATGGGCGAACGGAAGGAAAAATATGAAATCGTCATTCAAATAAATTCGAAATTTTTCAATTATATTTTTCCATTATTTTTCGTTTGTTTGTACGGGGACGTTCCTTTAAATATAAACGAAAGCAATCAAGCTTGAACGTTGCGCTTGATTAAGCGAACCGCCGTGTAATTTTACGCTTCGAAGCGCGAGTGTTGTGCATGCGGCTACCACGATATTGTACATGAAGTTAAAAATATATTATTAAAAATCGTAAATCTTTCAAGCATACGCTCATTGAATGATATACAGTCAAGGCTTTTAAATATCAAATTTTTCGATATAAAAGAGGGTCGATGAAAAGACCGGACTTTTGTTCACGTAAATGTTTATTATTATTATTTTATTGAACATTTACCGTAAATGTTTATTATTATTATTTTATTGAACATTTACCGTACAATTAATATAATAGTAGTCTTGTTATACTTTATATTTTATAATTATACTTTATAATTAGGTAGTACTAAAAAAGTGAGGTGACAGCTGATAGTTGATTGTGTGCCGAACCTAATGCAGAATAAATGGATAATTTCTAAATGAAACATGTAATAATATAAGTACTGGCTCTTTTGCAGAAGAGACTTCCTAAACTTAGAACAGAACATTCTCCACTGAACTGCTATGTTTATAACTGGTGGTCCAGTACTATAAGTGTTGTAATCAGTAAAATCTCCCTGAAAGAATCAGTTAATAGTGCACAGAAAAAACAAGCTTAATTGAATGACATGATCATGAATAAACTGAATGCCTTTTAATTGCAAGAAACAGAATTTGAGATTCTTAGAGCTAAATTTGATTCATAAGAATTAAACATTCTGTTTTCTTTAATCAAGACGCGTTTGTTTCGTTTATGGTCATGTTCTTCTCCGTGTAGCGACTATTCCCATTACTGATGAATTTCACGAACGCAGATAGTGTCAATGTACGCAAAAAATATGGAAACCGTTGATTACACAGTCACCAGTCTTACTTCCACTGGCTAAAACCGATGAGAAATAAGACGGTACAATAAAGTAAGTGTTTTTACAAAAAATCACTGAATATTCATCAATCATCGATGAAACAGTCTTTTTACTAATTCAGTCGGAAACGTTTTTATTGAATCACTTTAATCCTAGAACTCTAAACATGGATAAATTTACCCAGATTAATTTTTCAAACGTTGCCGTTCTTAAAAACATGTCTTGTTTTTACATTATAACTTTTTTGACTTGATTAAATCGCAAAAACATTAGATTCATATTCTTCGATGTTTTCTGTGTACTAATTAAAAATAAGATTTATTAATAAATTTCGATTATTTTTCCGAAAATTATAAGCAAAAGAAAATGCGCTGGGTAAAATTTACTCATGTTTAGGGTTTATGTAACTTTTTGATATTCAGGGTTCTATGTTTAGGATTGTTTAAAGGTTTAAGAAAGCAAGGAAAAATGATGTCGATCAAATACTATTGGGTAAGGGATTGAAATACCACACAGCTGTATATGAGAAAGAGTGATGCAAAGTTTGTGATGCATGAAAACGGAAAGAAGAGATGCAGGACGAGTAGAAGCAGAGGAATTGAAATGGAAATTTGAGCTTTGTTTCGATAAGATGGAGAAGACGTCGTTCTAATGACAATGGCCCTAAAGTTGTCCGGACAATCTCTCCCCTTGTTCAAAAGTCCACTCATATTCGCTTGCGCTCTCGATAAAAGAGTAAGAATGTAACATTCCCTAAAACCTCAGTCCTCGTCGTAAACTCTCGGACGATCCCGCCGTATGACCATCCCGGCCACGTCGATGATGGCTCGTCAGCCTCGGTATACCGCGGAACATTGGCAGGACGTATACGTCAGACAGCATGCCTTGCATGCACGCCTGTCGGCGTTGCTCCCGTACGGAACGTACGTACATGTGTATGCCTCATATATACGTATATTTACAGTTATGTGCAAATGCATTTGCGCCTACGTGCGCATATAACTGTTTATCCGCTAATACTCCCTTGTGTGACGCATTAGTTTGTACGTTGTGTGTATGCCTGTGCGTGTGTGCATCTGTAATGCGCGCGCGCGCGGACTTGAATGCGACCAATTTAATGCCGCGGGCAAGAACGACGATTTGACGATTTCTAATGCGAAGAGCGACGATAAAAGTGCGCGTAGATGACATTTCATTCTTTATAAGAGAAAGCGTATTTGTGTTTAGATATAGAGGCAACTGCTTCCTAAAGTACAATGTGTGTATTCCCCACTAAAACGCTATACTTATAACTGATAAGTGTAGTTGTAAGTATAGCACTGTAATCGGTAAAATCTCGCTAAAATCAGTTAGTAATAGCAACTATTCCCATTATTAATGCATTTTGTAAATACAGACACGCATGCAAGCTGCATAGAAATCATTAAATCTATCACCGCAAACACAGAAAGGTGGATCAACTATAACGTATAACAAATTTTTAGGCACGGAGAAAATATTTTAGTAAAGATTACGTTAAAATTATATTTATTTTTGCAATGCTTTCTATAAAACAAAGGCATCCTGAGATTGTAGCATAGATTACTATAATTTGACAATCTATATCAAATATATACATTAAAAATAATATTCAAGTAATTATAGTAATTTTGTAATAAAAAGTCAGTAACGTGTGTAACATTTTGAAAATAATAATATATAGTAATCATTGTCATAATTTCTGTATAATTACAAAAGTTACAAGATTACAAAAGTTTGTTGTAAGTTTTACTAGAATATTTTTTCTATGTATTACCTCATATAGCACATAAAAAATATTTCTATTAGAATTAGATGTATACCCTTAAAGTCTTTGATATAAAGTTTTGTGCAAACAACAATAGACACCTAAAATATATTCTATTTGCTATTTGACGTTTCTAGGATGTCCCCAAAACGTATTTTAGACATTTGTGTTGCTTAAGGCAGATTTTTCAGGAAAATCTTCCTTCTTCTGTTAAAAATCAGTGAAATATTAAACGGAGCAGTAAAGTGTCTTCACTGAAAATTAATGAATACTCGCTGATCGTCGATAGAATGCTCCTTTTATACCGATTCAATTCAATTAGAAACATTTTTGCTGATTCGCTTTAAAAGAGCGCGAACGAGCAGATAACGAGCAACGGACAGCGCCAGAAAGTTAACTTTGGAATGTTTGTAATAACTAATGCTTCGCGAACGCGTCTCATAGTATCATAACGTGGTCTAGAGCAAGATAATGAGTGAAGCAGAAATCGTACAACAACTCCGGCGTTATTTCGGCATCTCTAATGTAATTAGAGAGCCGTGTACAATTGCCCGGATTGGTTTATGAATTAAACCACCTGCGCGCATGTCTGAGTGCGAACAAATGCGCGAGATAAAGAGGAAGATAGCCAAAAGGAAAGAAGTAGAGAGCACGCGTCGTGCAACTCGCGTTTCTGGATACATAATCGCGCGCATTAGCGTTTAATTGCGATGAACGCGATAAGGGCCGCTACGAGAGGTGCGAGTACTCGGGCGAGGCTGTAGGTGCGAGTGTATCCATTGACCCCATACATTCCGTATACCTGATCTTATGAGCCATCAGGATGACTTGACCCTGTTGTACCGTTCTATGTACATATCTACTGATATATATGCCCACGTACCCCGCTACCTGTCGGGGTGTACGTTCAACTCAAGCGTGTGCATTAGCGGGCACGCGCGCGTGTATCGCGTGTCAGAATTCCGCCTCGTCTGCGCACACATACACACAAACAACCACGTATATATATACATGCGTATACGAATTCGCGAGCATACACATCCGCGACTCACGCAATATACGTACAACACGTATCGAGGAAGAGAGTATACACCGACGTCTCGTTGACGGTGTACGTTCTGTATCTCGCGTACGGCCGCTCGTATAAGCTGAGATCAAGATTGATAGGCTACGAGTCGCAACACACACGGGGCATCCACTTAGCGGTGCATTATCCGAATGAGAATGTGTACAGGCTGGATCTTACCTAATGCGACGCCCGCAATCCCGGTAATGGCGACCGCTTTGGCCGTCGCGCGCGGCGATCTTCGGCAATCGATAATCCCGCGCGCGCGATTGTGAACGAGGGTGTGTGTGTGTGTGTGTGTGTGTGTGTGTGCAGGGGTATACGTGGCGTTAACGTGCTAACCGTGTTATTTCGCGCCCGTCTGTCTGTCTGTCTGTCCGGTTGACGAGCGAGGCCGAGGAATTGTTCCTATGACCTTGCGTACGACCGTCAGGTAATGGATAAGCGGACGGCAATTAACCGAGGCGTACACGTATCTACTTGTCGCGCCGATGTGTGTTACGTAAACACGGAATTATGTGCGCATTCGGTTATGCTATTTGTTTGTTTAATCGCGAACGAAATTTCCCGATTAGAAATTTTGATCAGATACATGGATTTAACTGGACAAACGCAAACTAATCCTAAATATAATATATTTTATAAGAATATGATGAGGATTGAAAAAGGAAGACTTTTGTAAGGGTATAGTGGGGTTGGGCCAATTGTAGGACTACATTAGGATCTTAATGCATTTCTCGATTAACAATTTCGATCAGGTATGTCTGATATCGTACAAGGACCAAACTGAACAAACGTAAACTAATTCGAAATATGATAGATCTGATAGGGGTATAATGAGAATTGAATAAGGAAAACTTTTGTTACGGGTAATGTTACGGGTGAGGCTATCTTAAATTTACATTAAGGGAAAGATATCCTAATCTGTTAATTTTCCGACTAGAAATTTTAATCGGAATTTTAATCGCCTAATATTGTATAAGGATCTAATTGAATAAATTTAAGATAATCCTAAGCATGGAGTATTTGATAGAGATGATATTGTGAGAATTGAATAAGGAAGATTTTTGTAAGGATTTGATGAGCCTATTCTAGGTCCACATTAAGATTATCATGTATTATAACTTAGTGTATTATCCTATAAGGTTACATTGATCCGGTTTTTCTCGGGATTTTACTTATTTTCTCTATTATAGTGTGTGTGGTTAGAATTCAATAGGGACGAATTGTAGCTAATGTTATATATAGTAGGTGTGTGATCTCTACAAAAATTATTTTCTATATTTTCTATTTAATTTCAAATATTATCACAAATTTTTATGAGCCACTAAGTTATAAGAATAAATTATGAGCATCAATTATTTATAAGCCTAAATTATGAGCATATTATCAGAGCATCATCAATTCTTACTCGATCGTAAAGTTAAATAACATATGATGTTATAGTCAGTAAAACGATGGATAACTATTCATGGGACGGTGGAATATTTGGATGGGAGGATTGCGGGAGAAGTATATGGTGAAAAGACTACATGAAGCTGACAAAGATTTGGCGCAAATCTGACTAGAACCTAATGATGAATCCTTAATAAGGTTCTGATTACTATGCTGACTTACTAGAATCCGACGACATTATTTTGTACTTCAACCTGATAACTGCTTAAGATCAACTTTGCCAAAACCATGAGATAAATTTCTAGTCGAACCCTTTTTCAAATTTTGTCCTACTTCTGTCTGCCACTCGAACTACCGTTTTGTTGCACCGCTCGGCGAGCACGCCGTGAAAGTTCATATTTGAAATAAAGCGCGGGTACGGGCGAACGAGCGAACGAGTAGGCGCGCGGGAGAAGAGTTCGGTAGAAAAAACAAAAGATTCCTCAGAAAGAGCAAGGTAGACTGAATACGTGCTTTGGCATGTGGCAAAACGTTTTTGCTAATGGCACTGCTTCACAAAACTAAAAAATTACACGCTTTTTCAGGAACGTATTATTAAATTACGCGCTGCGCCCGCGACTTGTGTGCATGAAAGCGCGGCGCGCTTATGAAAGGTTATTTCCGCGACCCATATACGCGTAAAAATATTTTCCTATGGAGCGTCGACCGATATTAATATCCTCCTCATACTGCACTATGTTTAAAATCAATTCGGAACTCGTGTTTTCGTTAAAGCGACTCATTGTTAATTTTTGCATAAATAGCGTATAAATGCACGGGGGACAATTTGCAATCGTGAATTTCGAAATTTTACGCCGCGTATTTCGAAAAGCCATTTGCAGTTTTGCAATATATACACACACACACACACACACACATATATATATATATATATACACACACATACACATACAATATAAAAAAAACAGTAATTAGAAGATTATATAGGTTATATTAATTACGAGAATTCAGTCGCGGTTACTTTCTTACACCCTCGGTAAATTGCGACGCGGTTCGCTACACGTCATTATGAATTTCTGATGTCAGCGACACAATTTCCGCGATATATTCAACTGTATAAAGCATACAATCTTTAATTCAACTTTAATCTTTTGGAACATAATGGTTTCATCGTGAGATCACCTATTAGAACCAAACGTATTGGAATCAAATAGCTGTAGGCATAGTGATCTCGCAACGAAACCACTGCTCAATCTATAATGATGGACTTTACCGGTTTTTGTATACTAAGTAACAGTTACTCATATACTAAGTAAGAAAGCGGTTGGATTGACAAAATCGGCGGTCATCGGCCATCAAAGAAATATTGGATCTATTCAATAAAATACAATGTTAATACTACAATAAGTTGCGTTGATATAGTGATTTCAACACAACTTATTGTTGCATTAACATTGTTTTTTGTTGAATAGATTTAATATTTCTTTGATGATCACCGACTTTGTCAATCCAACCGCTTTTTTTCTCAGTATAGTATTTGCTTCAGTTGGTGTACAGTTTTGATAAAAATAGAAAAATATAATTAATTTCTAAAGCGGCGACTGCTAAAAAAAATTGTTATTCTAAACATGTGACATGAATATTTTATTAGAATCCGAATTTTGAAGGTCCTGTACTTCAAAAGATTAAGCACTTGCTTCTTTACTGCAGTAATTATGCACTTACTATAATTACGTTTCTTCCGCAATCTCGATGTTCAGATGCGCCCGTGATATCAATTGCAGCGTTGCAAGTTATTCATTTGCGGGATTTGTTTGCGTGAAGTATTTATCGTAAATTATGCGGACTGTTATTGTTATTTTTCGCACAAGGATAAACCGGGAGAAATTTTTCTCTTTGCCCGGGATTGTTCCGTGACCCGACACGTGCGCACCGTTAACATAACGAGTTCTCGAAGGAAGACACGTAATGTAGAAACGAATTAGCGCACCTATCTTGCCGGCGCAAGAATCCTCGGAATTTTACAGAATAATCTCTAAAATAATTCATCTCTCTCCGGTCGCTGCGCGCGCTGGTGCAGTTGCACTTAGACGATTAACTCGGCTTTTTACGATGACTTCATGATTTATTATAATAACACGCAACTGTGCCGTAATAAAGCGCAAAACATTTCTTGCAGAATGTACAGTGAGTTATATTAAATAGATCATTTGCGAGTTCTCACGCTGTGACTACAACGGCAGCGTTGAAAATTACTCGACGCTTGCGACGACAGAAATTTCTTTTAATTCTGAATCAATATATGTACTTAATTGTTATAAGTACTTAATCTGTACGACTTTTATTATATAGAGTATTCCTAAAGTCATTTTCTATTTGGTGAAATAAAACAAATTTCAAAAAATAATACTATTTAATGTCATCATTATATACACATATGTGTATATAAAATAACCCTCGAGCTTAAGCTGCTCGGGTTCTTAACATAGACTTTTTTTGGGACTTTATTCAATCGAATGTTTATAGAAAACGAGTTGAAGATATATAAAATTATAGAAAATTATAGAAAACGAGTTGAAGATATATAAAATTTGGAAAATCGTATTGGAAAGTCAGCTTAAAAATCGACGCTTAAAATGTCTGTAAATGTGTTTTGCAATGCGAATGACTGGTTTAAGATTAATAGAAACACCAATGGTGCACATGAAGAATGTAATAATTAAAGTTTAGTAATAATTATAAAATGTTATAAAACCATAATGTAATGACTTTTTAAGGTTGATGTATACAAATTTTGTTTCTTTATGATGTACACAAATATGTATGTAATCTTGAAATTAAACAATTACTTTAAAATTCACTTTCTTCGCTAAATATTATAGATAATAACGTTAAGATAGCATTGGATACTAATAAATGAAAATTTTACTTGACTAAAATAATCGGCAAATAAATAATCAAAATAAATTAACACAAATAAAAATCTTAATCAATATACAAGGTGTTCTTTTTGTATCACAGGGGAATAAATAGGGATGAGTGAGTAAGTGAGTGTGTGGGTGGGTGCCTGACCAGAGCTGGGGGTGGCAAGTTTTCAGTGTGTGGAGGTGATGTGTGTTTTGTGTGCGGTTATGAATGCATGGATAATTTGAATATTTTTAGTGCGAGTGAGCGGAGTGATTGCGTTTTATGTGCCGAAGGGGGAGGGCATGTGTGGTATGCTTCCTTCGAGTGCGTATGTGACTTGAATGTTTTCTGCATGTCAGTGGTTGAGTACCGCGAATGATTTTAGTGTGTATACGAAAAGGGGAGAAAAACGGACAAGCAGGGATCCTGAGGAGCCTACGGCGTCCTATGGGCCTGAGCGCTCACTCGGGGCGCTAAGGGATTGGCAGATTTAATTAATTAATATTTCATTTTATTAATAATTGTCGGATCCAAAAATGGAAGAGGAACTTTCAGTTCCAAATTTCACCCTCTACTTACCTCTAACGGATGTTCTACCAGTTTTGGAACACCCTGTGTATATTCACAAATAACTTAATCAATTCATGAAATTAATTATTAATCAATCATTAATTTACTTAGTGATCGATATGTAATAATGTATTAATTATTAATCAATCAATCAAATCAAAGTTTGACTAATTAACTTCATCAGTCGATTAAGTTACTTACGCATACACATGACGATTGGTTAATTTTATTATTGATTTGCAAATTATTTTAGTCAACTAACTACTTTTAATCAATTAATGTCCAACACTGCTTCAGGAACATCCTCCTGAATATAAATGTATCTATGATCCCGATCACGTTGGTCCTAAACAGTTATCTGGCTTGTATAAGGTGATGCTATGGTGTCTTAACTATTAATAAGTCTTTAATTATTAACAATCCTGAATATTAATAAATCCTGTTTGCCATGTTGCTTTACATAATTTATCTATATCCGATAAAATCAAACTACATCATGTACGAACTAGACAATTGATTGGAATCAACCTGATTATAATCATGAAATAAATTTCTAGTCGGATTGTATTAAATATTTCCTGAAAAACTAAAAAGTATTGTATGATTTTCTATTAGTTTTTAACCTATTACTATTGTTTTGAAATTGTCTTAATAAAATTCATATAAGATCCTGCTCGGACATCTAAAAAGATATAAACTTATGCTCAGTGAAATCCTCTTATATATAATGGTCTCTCAAGAGAGAAGAAGAGAGAATTCTTCTAAAGTGGAAAAAATATTTTAACATCCACGAAATGAATTCTACTTGCAGAGTTCTATTTCCTGTAATTCAATATTCTAAGCGAGACTCTTACCATAAAAGTACCCCCTTTCTAATAAAATGAACTATTAATTGGAAATCTCTTAGATATTATTTTAACTTTTGTTCCTTTGAAATAAAGAAGAATATGTTTACTGGAAGAGTAAAATGGCCTCTTATTAGACGAAATTTCTATTTAAAACAAGACTTGTAGTGTATAGATAAAAGATAAAATCCCTTTTTATATATAAAAATATTGTGCTTAGAGTGTTTTCTTTTTAGTCTCAGAAGAATCTTTTTGAGGCCATATATAAAAAGGATTCCGCTAAAAGTAAGATTTTTATGGATGGATACAATATTTAGTGGTCGATTCTTTTGTCTCACGAATACAGACGTTGTTCTCAATCTTCTAACCCGTGCGAATAACGTTGAGCTGGACTTAATCGTACGAAGAGGAATTTAACGTTGGGGGACAAAGCGGGGGTGACGCGCGCGATTTCACTCAGACACACGCCTACTCGCGGAATAAGTGGATCACCTTGTCTCATCCGTTCTCGCGCGTCAGATGTAAGACCGTAATCGCGGTTGATATATCGCCGCGATCGTTCTTCATTATCGCCGAATGTGTCCTGCGAGCTTATACGGTATGTAGCTACGTGCTGCGGCAACGACGTAACTTTGTCGCGAAGTGGCTTAACAAGGCAACCAGACACGCCGGACCGAGGCTGCGTTTCTTGCGCGTTCGAAGGAAGCACGTGGCAACATATGGAACGTGTGTTACGGGCGTGTGTTATCTCGCCAGTTTGCGGTTTCCCAAACGGAACGAATCTTACCGACTTATCCCGGCGCAACGAGACAAACTGGCGTGACGAACGCAAATTGGCCGGGCGACCGTACGCCGTTAAGAAACTTGTCGAACGAAGAATGCGCGTCGAAAGATATTTACGATCTACGTGGCGGACTTACCCGCGGCGTACGAATTTTCACACGCACTCAATTCTATCGGGTTTCCGACAACGCGGACGGATTTCGCACCCCCAAAATTCCAACGAAGTAAATTTAACTAATTAACATTTGTGTCACGTCATTATTAATTTCCTTCGTTGACTTCGTCGCTAATTCAACAAACGCGCGATCACGATTGCATCTTAACGAGCGCGGTTTGAGCATGGCGAGTGAGTTGGAGGAGGAAGTGTGACGGTAACTTTTCCCAAGCTTTATCTCGCCGCGGAAACGGAAGCGCGATTCTTTCCGGACACATTGAGTAGTCGAGCGTGAACGAGCGCGGCGACGAAAACGAGAGATAGATAGGTAGACAAATAGATTGATAGATAGATAGGTAGATAGATAGAGAAGGAGAGAGAGAGGGAGAGGGAGAGAGATCCTTACAACGCCCGAATTCGACGTTAAGCGGCAGAAACGAGAGCGTGTACCAAGGTCGTTTTAATCCTGCCGCACGCGCGGTAGGATTAAATTCGCGCATTTTTTCGTCGCTTTCTTCCATTCGCACCGGGTTTTCCTTTGTATACTCGTTCTCGTTCGTTTCGTGCTGCGAAATGTTGAATCGTCCGACACCCGACGACGACGTCGTGTAAAAAAGCCGTTCATGCGGCGGCGGCGGCGGCGACAAAGCGCACCTCGCGCCACGTGAAACACGTCAGCGGGGGCGAATTATCCGCTGTAGCAGATCAAACGGTCTCGGGGCGAGAAACCCTTCACGGCTCTTTGGCTTGCGCCGTAAAGCGCGGCTAAAAAAAAGAGAGAGAGAGAGAGAGAGAGAGAGAGGACAGTTCCGTTGTCCCTTCGAGCGTCGCAGATTTACTCGCCGATCGGTGCGTCGGTATCGTCGACGAAACAACGTTAAATCCAATCGAGCGTGGACATTGTCCACTTGACTGCTCGAGGGCTCCCGCGTTTCCCTTTCTCTTTCTTTCTCTCCCTTCGCCCTTCCCCACTCCCACCCACCTCAACCGTGTGTTAATAAGAGAAACTGCGGATGCAATCCGAGTCCAGAGACCAACCATGCATCAGCGCTTGGCAAGTTTGATAAAAGAATTGAGATCGTGCGCAATACGATGAAACGAATTCTGTGGAGCAGTCTGAAGAGACATATCTTGGAATTGTTTCTTGATTTCTTGGCTATAGTAGATATAAACATTTCACAATCAGAGATCATGCATATAACGTAGAACTGCGCCGCTTATTTTACCTTCCGCTATCATTCACTTTTCATCGTTGTCAGAAAACTATCAGCCCAAGACATATCTCTCCAGATTTTGTACAGAACTTGTTTCATCATGTCGCACTCATTGGCTGATCATTGATTGAATT